GAGAGAAGGAGCGTTTCAGGCGGTTGGAGTCCTGGATGCGTTCGGAGGAGAGGTGCAAGCCGTTGAGCCCCTGCTGCAGGGCGGTGGGCGACAGGACCTTCGTGGTTCCGCCCTGCCGCTCAGGGTCGCTGTGGGGGGATGCCGAACTGGAGCCTCTTGGCACCTCCTCGGCCTTCTCTGAGGTAGGTGTGGGGGGGTGCCGGCTGCCCTCGGCCACTTCTGCTGGGTCCTGCTGGGTGTCCCCCTCGCCCCGGTCACCCTTTGACTTCAGGGCCTTGAGGAGCTTCAGGCTCCTCTCGTACTCCAGGAGCTGGCCCAGGAAGTTGAAGTTGGGCGAGATGGACGGGCGACGGTCCTTAACGAACCTGCCGAGAGGCACAGACAGCCCCAGTTGGTGCTTGGTCCTTCAGTGGGTCACCCCTACTCTCTTGGCCTCTTTGGGGAGAAGAGGCATTGTTCAGGACCTTCTGACCAGACCCTCTGAAGAAAGGGGTCCTGGGGAACCATGTGGCTTCAGGGTGCCCCAGGGGTAGAGCTAGGACCGCCTCCCCCCTCCAATTTACTGCACCTAACCATTTCTCGTTACATGCACTTAATGAAGGGAGGTTTGGTTTGGTTTCAACAGGATTCAGCCAAGGCAAAACAGAGGTTCAAGGAGCTCCCACCCTCTCCTTCTGGGCTCAGCCTGCTTTCATTCCTTGGAGTGAAGCTTAATGGCGTAACTCCTTCATGCCCTCCAGGGAAAACTCACCTATAAGCATCGTCTGACGACATACCCATGGTCTTCATGATATAGGCGATGGCGATGGTGGCTGACCGGGAGATCCCAGCCAAGCAGTGCACAATCACCTGGCAGCTGGACACCTTGGCTTTGTCTGGAGCACAGTAGAGGAAACAGAGACAAAAGCGTCAATGTGGTCAGCAATGGTGAGCAAAACAACTCTAGCCTCCCTCCCTAACCCTCAACCCCTTTGTGTGAAAGAACAAGGGTTGCTGGGAGTAAGACCATGGAGGACAGGTTTTGAAGGCTGAGAACCGGAGGGTCTGCAACCATTTGTAACTAAAGCTCACCAATGAATTCAATGGACTTGTCCAGCCACGGAAGCAGCTTCTCACAGTAGTTGTCATTGACAGGAATGCGCATGAAGTGACTGTCACAGATGAAGTCTGGCTTGGGACAGGAGTTGCTGGCGTTGAGGACATAGCTTATCCCATTCTGCGTCATCAAGTCCTGGTGGGAAAGAAGTGATCAAATGATTGGCTGAGTTCAGCCAGCACTGAGTGCTGAAGATACACCTTGCCATGCACTACCTGCCTTTTCCCATCCCAATGTTTTCTCCTGTGGGTCTCCCACTGCTGCCTTGGCCTAGTTGATGGTAGCACAGCAGAGACCAGCTGAGAATGTTGTGTCAATTTGCATGACACAGGTTTGAACCTCAGCAGGTTCAAAGTAAGCAAGACCAAAGGCACCTGGAAGGGAGTCCCAGAGGGGAAAACCCAAGAACCGCTATGAGAGGAATAGGAAAATACAGGACAGAAAATCAGTGAAAACTCTGGCTGAAAGTTTTGAAAGTATCAACTGAGGGAGAGAGGAGGTATCTCACCAACAGAGTGAGGCGAGTCATTGATAGCACCCTATGTTAACCCTTGTCTTTGCTCCCACACCCCTCAGAAATGCATCGGGAGTTCTCACAGATGTGCTAGGTGTTCATAGATCTTCACTGTGGACATATGCTCTCATGTTGGGACACAGGCAGGTGGTGAGGGGAATCATCTCTTCCCTCCTTCTGACACTGGACTGAACTTGAACTTGTTTTGTGTGACTTTTCTGCTTTGGGCACTCAATGGCCACCATCAGTGCCCATATTTTGGAATCAATAAAATGCAATGGCACAAAGGAGACCCTAGGTAAATAGGGTTAGATGAAAAATTGCAATGAGGGGATGAGGTTTGACCCACAGGCCATCCATCAGGGAACTGGCTTGCTGGGTCTGTACTGCTGCCTCCACATCAACCGCCATTCCTTCCATTCCAGGGCTATGGCCAGCTTCACCTGTATGCAGTGCTGACACCAAATTTATGGCTCATCTGACCCCTGTCTCTTTTCCCATCCCATCAGCTTAGGTATCACCTGTACAACTGGGGGCAGGTTGCTTATAAAAAATGAGGGAACATCTGTGCCAGCTGCTGGGTGTCAGTGCCTGGTCTGCAGTATTCCAGGGAAGACCCAGAGTTAAACGTAAGGAGAAAACATGGAGATAAAAGAGTCCTTCCACACATCAGTGTGCGTGGAGCTGCCATGAGGGATCTCTCCTTTGCAATGTGCTGGAGAAGAGAAGCATCGTCCATGCACAGCCTCTTCACTTGACTCTGCTCTGTTGCCTATGAGCATCTTCTGGCCACATTGTGGGGATGGCAGAAAACACAGCTCCAAAAGATGAACAAAACCCTCCGACGAGGCGAGGAGGAAAGGAAACTATCAGTTTCCCTGCCTGGCATTGGCTCCTCAGGAGATCGCACTGTGATTTCGGCCCTGGCTCTCCAGTGGCCAGTTCCTGCCCACCCCAGCAGGCTCTGCAGAGCCCAGTCTCAGCTCAGCGGAGCCAGCCCAGCTCCCGGGCTCACATTCTTGGCATTTTTCTCTTTCATTTCCTTCTACTCCCTGTATATAATTTCTCTCTCCCTCCTTTCTGTCTCCGACCCCCCTCCGGCATCGGCATCATTGTCCCTCTCCCCCCCTCGCCTGCCCCGGGTGAGGACGCCTGGCTGGCTCCCTCCTGCCCGCGGTAGGCAGGCGCCCAGCGGCATTTTAACTGCAATTCCTCTTTCTTTCTTCTCGCAGTTATTTTTCCTTTAAACAAAATTCCTTCCCTGGTGTGACATCACAGCACAGCCCTTCCAGCACCTTTAAAAGGGCACTGTCCCTCTTTTCTCCTCTCTCTCCCACAGCAAAACTTTGCTCATTTTTGGACCTCCTGAACAAGCCCCTGCCCCTGGCTAGAGCTCCCTGTCCTTGTGGCTGAATAACCCAGCTTGTTCCCACTCTCTCTCGCTCCCAAGGGGATCACAGGGTTGCTGAAATTGGTGCTATCTGGCAGCCTGGCTGGCTAGGAGGGTGGGTGCAAAGTTGACTCCTGTTCCACATCTCTGTCTTAGCTGTAGTAACTCCCCCTGCAAGCCCAGGTGTTTTCCCGGCTCTGCTCTTCCTGCCCCTGAGTTTGTGACGGGCACTTGGGAAGAGTTTGACTACCCCAAAGCTCATCAATATAAGATAACTCATCCTGCGACCACCCTCCCCAGTTCTGCTGGGCTCTGCCTATGCACTCCCTGCCTTCAGCCTCCTGGTAGGATCAGACCGACCACCTGTGGTCCTCCCACCGGGCAGGGGAAGAGTCCTTAATGCCCTCACCCTTCTGCATAGTGGGGGTCCCAGATGGGACAGGGCAGACATGTCCCCTCGACAGGGTCATACCTTGTTTAGGACATCTTTCTGGGAGCCCAGGTAGAGATGTGGCAGGATGCGTGTGGGACCAACGTTGGCCACGGGCAAGCATGGCTGGGAGATGCTCATCGGCAGGATGGCAGCTGGCTTCCCCTCGCAGAGCCCCGGGAAGCAGGATGAGAAGGTGGCAAAGCCTCCTGCGGAGAAAATGGGGACACTGAGCTCGTAGCAGTAAGGCTGAGACCATCAGTACCTGGCACTCTTAGGTCCGGGCTGGGGCCAAAGCAGCGATAACCTTGCAACACTGAGAACAGAGCTTTCAAGAGCAAAAAGCCAACGGCCATCGATAACCAGTGCAGACACGTTGTGATGACTGTGCCACACACACGAAGAAAGGAACAGAAACCCAGCTCTGATTTTTCCTGCTGCAGCTGGATATTAATGCAAGTGAGGCATCCCACACTCCCTCCTGCTCTTCGCAACTTCATTCAGACAAACAACAGGAAGAGAAAGTCCTTTTCTTGGCTGCCTACTACTCTGAGGACAACCAGGATCAGTTTTTGATAGCAAAACCTGCCAAGGCAGGATGATGACAAGCAAGCCCACCGAGATGCAAAGTTCCCCGGGTTATGGAGGTCAGTGCAAACCTTGCCGCAATGGCTACACTTACACATTGCGGTTTCTGAGAGTTGCCCCCTCTGCCCAGCCCCACCTAGCCCATGATTTCCACCACGTCGGACCAGACTGGGACATCGGTACCTGCAGGCCATTGCTGGTTTTCATGCTCGGACCTTACTGAATGTGACAGCAAGCAGCACCCAATTTACTTCACCAAGCTGCTGGGCAGTCATACCCAGCTTGTGCATCCCAGCTGGGGCCGTGGTAGGCGGCATCTGACAGCCAGAGCCATCACCATGGTGTCTGGCATGGTCAAAAGTACAGATTAAATGTGATTGAGCCTGCCTGAAAGCCAGCCTCCTGGTCAAGTGGCAAGAGCACTGACTTGAGCAGCGCAGCAAGCATTGCTCTACCTGCATGGTAGACAGCTCGGGGAGCTGGAAAACCCGTAGTGCTGTCGAATGTCCTGCGTGGTTGCATAAGGCCACTGGTGATCCCGATTTGCTCTTACTCACTGATCCCATTCTGTGAGGTAGAGCTGGGTCTGGCTAGTGGTGGCCCAACCTCCCTCCCCTCCAGCTGAGGACAACTGGGTGGCAGCTTGGTGCAACGGAGAGGACCTTGGGTTGTATCAGCCCAACCAGTCTCCCCTGATGTTTTCCCAGTCATGCGAATGAGCAGATGCAACTTGACATCACCCGAAGGGCAGAGATGACTTTGGGGCTTGACTGCCTTTGACTGCCAGAGGGACTAGGATGCCCCCACAAGATCCTTCAGAAAGTCCAGGTATCTGGACTTGTTAATGAGCCTTTGGTAATGATCTTTCCATTCAGTCTCTCTCCCCTTTGGAAGCAGGGCAGCCTTGGAACATTCTCAATTTACTTTCTCCAGCACCTTTCCAGCATTTCTGCTGACCCGTGTGGAGCACCTCCCTGGCTGCTGGTGTGGCACCCAGGCTCTGGCGATGAATGACTGGTACTGCAAACAACCCACCCCACGTGTTTGGGAGGTGAAGGTGATGGAGAAGCCAGAGCAGTGCATAAAATTATGCTCACATCACCTGGGAACGTCCAAGGTCACCCCCCATCTCAGCAGCTCCTGGTGTCAGCTCTCCCTGCCCCAAGAGGAAGGTGTTCTCCAACCAACCTTATTTCTCCCCTCTCTTATGTTTTCCTGGCTGGCAGTTAACAGAGCTCCCAGCTTCAAAACACGGCCAAGCCGGGAGGGGTAGAGTTAAAGCACCTTATCTTCTCTAGCACTTCCTTTTCTCTGGCTCCCTCCGAAATGACATCACCTCTCAACTGGGACATTAAATCAGAGTGAAAGCAGGAGGCCCAGTGCAGGTGCAGCACAGCTCCAGTTACTGCTCATCCCTGTGCTGTGTCCCCATTGCCAAGGGGTGTAAATCACTGGCCAGAGCCCTGTGTTGACACGTGCAACCTCCCTGCTTAGTCCCGTGCTTGAGCACACGCTGCTGATGCCTGGGGGATGCTCAAGCAGAAATCCAGCAGGACATATTTCCTTCAGCTCCCCCTAGGGAAGCCTGCAGCACATGGGGTCGAGTGGGGTGCAGATTTGACCACTGGACTCATGCAAAATAACACAGGATTTTTTCTGAAGGAACCCAGCACATTTTTGAGGAGAAGAGTGCATGCAAGCGCAGCCCCAGGGATTGGTGCCTGCTCTTGTCCCAGGTCCCCAGCCTCTTGCGCTCACTTGTACCCATCAAGAGACACCCAGGGCCATGTACGGTTTCATATCGCTCTTTAAAAGCCGGGAGTGCGGGGTGATCTCATAGCTAAAGCAGGTTGGGGCACGCCGCTCTCTCCCCCTTGCCTGCCTCTGCCGGCACTTGCGCGGCAGCAGATCCTCTGCCAGCCCTGCCAGGGGAAGTCCAGGCAGGGGCAGAGGGGTCTGCAAAGCAGGTGGGGATGTTTGCAGAGAGTAGCAGCAGCAGCAGCACCCTCGGCTGCGGTGCCTACCCCAGCATGTTGCCAGCAACCAGAGGATGCTGGCACCTGAAATGATGCCTGTGGCTCGCCCTGCTTGTCCCAAACAAAGCCTCAACCCTGTGTCTGAGAGCCCGGGCATGCTCCCATCCCACCTGTCCTCATTTCCCCCATGCTTGCAGCTGCTGAGGGCAGCCTGGGCTTGGGGGAAACCCTAGAGAAGGGGCTGGGTACCCGACACCATCGCAACCTTGAAGTGACACTCAGCCCACCCCACCCCATGCCGGCTGCTCTAGCATGCCTTTCATTTTTAGAAAGCAAAGCAGCTCTTCAAAACAGTCCCAAAGGCAGTGAATGTCCCTGGCTGAGGTCCAACTGATACCTGGGCTTTCCCCCCTCTATACCCCAGGCCTTGGATCCCAGCTTTTGCTGGGAGAGCACAGCAGAGCCCCATGGGGTAAAGAGCCAGAGCAGCACTGGGTCTTTCTAGTCTTTCCTCTTATTCGCAGTGCTGGTGCCAGGAGTACTGCTTCTCTTGGCACGTGGGGAATTAAGCTCAGGAAGGATTTGTATATGACGTGGAGTGGGTGCTTGGGGATCTCTGGTTTCTTCTTGATGCTCCCCTCGAGCCTGGCAAGGGCCTGCTAAGGAAGAGCTGGTCCCTGAGTGGCACAGCTCTGTGTACTGCTCATTGCTCCAGTACTCCTGAGGGCTCTCAAAACCATTCCCTGGAAAATCCAGCGTCTTCCTGCCTCCTGCAATTACGTGAAGCAGAGCTGGGGCCCAGGAGGGGCTGGGGGGAAGGTTTGGGCACAGGTAAACAGGACAGAAGTGGGGATGCCTTCACTGCTCCTGCTGA